GTACTCGCACCTCTGATGTAGATTCTTCTCTCAGAGGGTCCGATCTAGCGATAAGCGGAGGAATTTCGCCGAGAGATTGGCTGCAACAATGATCATCGAGTGTTGCGACTGAAGCAAAGACCTCAGTCGCCTCGAAAACAGTTTTCTGTTTTTGAAGACTTTTGTTAGAGACTTTTATCAGAGACGTTTTTTTTAAAAAAAAGAGAGAAATTTTTTGTTTATCAAATTATTGACTTAACTAAGACAACTTGACATGTTTTATATATATATGTCTCTTTCTATTATATTTATCTTTCGAATGCAACAAAAGTTTGACACACATAGAGCTTGCGAAAGGCAGACTTTTGTGACACACGGAGAATGGGGACACGCCAGAGCTAGGCCTTAAAAGAAGACTAAGCAAACGAACAGCGATATCACGCAATTATTGCAAAACCGAAAGTAGTTTTCCAGGTCTGCTATTTTCCCAATGGTGAACATATAAACGCGTCGTTCTCTCTCACGCGATAACGTCCTATTTATCGGCAGGTCGTGTGTCTCGTACAAGAGTTTCTCCGCAACGAGTTCTCTGTACGTCGAAAGACGTAAATAACAAATAGATAACAAATAAATAACAAATTAAGAGCTATAATAATATATCTCTGGCGATGATGATATATTATCAATATATAATATACAGGGTGCTTCGGAAATACACAATGTTAACTAAGAGAAAAACTGCTGACAGTTCTCGTAAATCTACGTGTGACACTTAATGTGATACTCCATGTAAAATTTCGAAGTAAACAAAGAGCGTTTGTATATCTCGAAGAGGAAGAGTTTCCAAACCCAAGTTTATACGATCTTTTTTCATCCTCCAAAGAGAGTAGAATATGATAGTTTGATCATTTATTTTAGAAAAGTACTCTGTGTATGTAATATATGAAGATCACACAGGGGAAGAACTTGATAAGTCAATTTTTTCGATTTTTTGTTTTCGATGTTATGTGGTAGTTAAAATGAAGTATTTTAATTATCCAAAACGAGAAAGGAAAATTTTTGATAGATTTCGAGATATAAACGTTTTTACAAAACGTGTAACACACAAATACATTAGTAAGTTTCGAACTTTAAAATCGCTCTCCTCTAAAATTACGAAAATTTGACTTATCAAGTTCTTTTCTTGCGGTCTTCGTATTGTATATAATATAGCGGTTTTATCAGTTAAGAAAAAATATCGTTTTGTATTGCAAACTTGTCAGAGAGATTGATTGATTGATTGATTGATTGATTGAGGCTTTATTTATAATGCGCTCTGGGAAAGCTTCCCCTCAAGCGCAGAGAGAAAAAGAGAGAGAGAGAAAGAGAAAGAGAGAGAGAGAGAGAAGAAAGGAAACAAGCTATCTCATAGTAATATTTTTTTAGTATTATCACATATTTTTTTCTAGTTGACCTTTCCTTTTCCTTTGTGTAAGCTTCTGAAAAATTTTATTACTTACTTGTGAGATACGTTTTCCTTCCAGTTCTTTTGTTCCTTTCTTCAACTAGGTAAATCTTTTCAAAGAAAGAAGAAACAAAGCAAGCTATTTTACAGTAATATTTTTCGAGTATTATCACTTACATTATTTTCTCTAGTTGACTTTTTCTCTGTGAAAGAGCTTCTGAAAAATTTAATTATATTTATCTCGCAGGATACGTCTCTTTTCAGTTTTTTTGTTCTTTTCTTCAACTAGTTAAATCTTTCCGCAAATTCTCTTTCAATCTTTTCTTTTTTCTCTTTCACATCCTTGTCTTGAAAAAAATTCTGTGGCTTTACGAGTCACCATCTACGAGGTAAACTGACTTAATATTAATTCGCGGAAGCTTTTTCGCTAAAACTAACTTTAAGTGGATAAAGTGTCAACTGTGTGACACTTCCTGAGAACGAGATTTCGTCGCGTTGTCACGTGCCGTTTCTAGATTTCGCTGAAGCGCTCGGTGTATTGAACGACCTTACAAAGGGATTACAGTTCATTGACGTTTTTTTTTTTTTTTTTTTTTGAAAGAGCAAAGACCGCGAGATTATTCTGAACCATCTTTTAGATTCGTCATATACGTTCGAATAACATGTGCTCGCTCTTTATTTTATTTACATTTAAGAAAAGGGATGTCTCTTCTATCCCTTCTCGCTTGTTAAGTATCTTTTCACGCACCTCACGTCACGGAATGTTTGTTGAAACAGAAACTGGCAAAAGAATAAGAGAAACGAGCGTTTATTTCTTTAATTATCTCGCACGTTTCGCGCACAACGGTGAGATTTTAACGCTGGTAACAACAACGAGGTACTTATTCCAGATTTATTTATCGGTACAGCGCGAGGACATCACAAACGAGGCTCTTTAACTGACGTTTTATGCACAACAAAAAGCTCTCCCCTTTAATATACTTCGTACCATGATAATTTTACACTTTGTACAAAAGTTCTTGCCATTCTCCGAATCGTCGAGGTATTTCTCTCTCTTTCTCTCTCTCTCTTTTCCTCTCTTTCTATCTTTTCACCCTCGTCTTTACCGAGGATTATTTTTGCCGCGTTGTCCTGTGACCAGTATCATCACGAAAGTCAAAACATACCGCGAGTGTGGTTGTTGCTATATGAGATGTTTAATTATACGCCACGTCGTTCGCGAGAATGCGAGAATGCTGGCGCGATAGAACACCTGTGCGCATCGTCCGACGTAATAAAACCACACAAACGACACGCTCCTCGTGAAACGTCATCGTTGCGGCGTCCAAGTGAAAAACCCAGTGGTGTATCGCATACGCGAAAATCCCGATTCTGAATCGACGATTTCAATTTTTCAGAAGCACTATTTTCACGTTTTCGCGAAATTTTACGGTTTTTCGTTTCACCGTTCCGCGACAGCGTTTTCCATGTAGCCGAAGCTGATCTTTGTCTCGAACGATCATTTTTCCTCTCTCCGTCTTGTCGCGACTCTCAGAATCTCGCGACTAACCGAGAAGAAAAGACGAAACCGTAAATCACGTTAACAGCTTCTGGTCAGATCCGATTGCTATCTCGCCGCTCTAACACTCTCGTCCGGACAATAATTTGGACTCTCCGCGGACTGAAATTTACTGTACGAACGCGCACGTGTCGTCGGCGATTTTTAACGACGCTACTTTTCTGCAATTTCGTGTCTCTCTTTTTGCGAGAGAAGCGAGCCCGAAACGTGTTCGGCTTCGAGCGAGAAAAAGAGATATAAAACGTTCGTCGTAAATCTTGGTCGCGTTGCGAATTTTTTTCCTCAACGAGCTTTGTTTTTCCTCCTGTTCTTCTTCCTGTCTCTGTTATTTTTCTCTCAGCGAATTTGATAATTGTCTCTCTACTGTTGATACTGTTGTTCTCTCCTCTTTGCAACAACGACGTCGCATCGACACGATGCTTTTACGCGTCACATGTCTGACTCCGGTGCGGATCTACGAAACGGTGCAATTTTGCAAAACGTTCGACGCTTCTCCACCCACGTCGAAGTTTCGGAGTTTTAATAGAAAAGCAGTCATCAGGGACAAATGATCTCTCTTTATCCTAACGTCTGGCAACCAAGCCAGACATCCATTTAGTACCTCATCTATCGATCATTCGTTCGACTAACATAATAAACTGAATTTGTGCAACACGCAGATTAAACAAAACAATTCGCAGCGTAAATCTAGCAGCAGATATTTTTTTTTCACAATAATGAGTAAAGAGAAAAAGAAGGAAGAGAAAAAGTTTGAGAAAAAATTTCTCGAGAATAATTTTTCGATACAAATATTAATTTTATTTGTTTAGCGAATTATTATGTTAAAAACAAAATTGTCGCAATTTTTTCATTCACGCGTGTCTCGATTTTGACATGGTGGCATTACGTCAAATCGGATCTGCGAGAAGAAGAAACAAACGAGATAGGTCGAGACAAATCGTGGTCCAAAGGGTGGGTCCGCGATGCGCGCCAAAGTAGATTCTATTGACCAACCAACTGGTCGAGAAAAGCGTGTATGCACGACGACGACGACGACGACGACGACGACTTCGTCTTCGTCTTCGTCCGTTTTCTTTCGTCGACGTTGAACGCGATAACGTCACGGTTCTATTTTTGGCGGTGCGGACGCAGCGATATCTTTAGAGCGAGCATCGGTACAGTCCGTTCCTTCGAGCTTTCCTTCCCTCGCGACCGAAAAACGTTGCCAGTTTGACGGGAGAAGGCGAGATGCTATAATGATTTATTTTATATCAACTAAATTTGATATCATGTCGACGACCCTCCCGAGTTTTCGCTCCCTCAAAGAATCCGCTTTTGATTCCATTCCGCCATGTCGTTCCCGACAGTCCTCGATTCGATATACACGGGGAGAGATGCGGTTTACGAATGGCGTTGGATTCGAATTCAAGAGAGCTAGAAACACCATTGTTGTTTCGTAATCCCACGGGAATTCAGAGATCAAAGTGGCAGCGCTTTGACAGAAATATCGGCTTTCATTGTCGAGCGGCCAACTCTGATTGAAGAGCTTAACTAGTTCGGAAGAAAAGCGTTTTTATTTCATTTTATTATTTGTCGGAGAACCGACGAGACAGTTTTTTTAGAGAATTTTTTCTGAAAATTCAAGGAGATACACGAGTCTCTCTCTCTCTCTCTCTCGTTTGAAGTTTTAAAGAGATTTTAAAACTGATCTGAGCTTTAACGATGAAAAAGAATTATATACGGTAATAAATTTCAACACTTTTTGAGAAATCGAAACAACACATGTTGACAACAAGAAATTCCGGATTTCTCATTGTCGGTAAAAAAAATCGTTGAAAAGTCTCTCTCAAACGCGCACTTGTTGTTATTGATTTTACATTTATCGTTTCACATTTTTGACTGCGTGAAATAAAATCGATATAAACGATTAAAAAAAAAAAATGCGACAACAAGTGGCATTTGTGCGGAAACTTAAAAGGTTACCGAGTTAAACATTTGAAAAACGCTTTCTTCTCGACGATCGATCAGTATCGATTCGCATTTATGTGTCAAGACAAAAATGTCTGACGTAAATTTCGGCAAAAAGACTCGAAAATTTGTTGTGTAAAAGAACGAAATACGAGTCACGTTATGGCGCTGATCAATAAGCAACGTATTATCAAACTATCTAATCCAAAACTAGAATGGAATTCCATTATCTGCTAAGAAAATTGATAACTAACGGATTGACTAGGTGAGAAAAAAATAAAAACCCTTTGACGCGCACGTTCTTGATATCGTCATTTAATCGCTGTCAAAGGGTCAGAAGAAGTTCATGGCGTCAATAACTTGAGAGCACCGAAACAATCTTGGAAAGTGTCTCAGAACATTTCTTTCGATTCTTCGCTTCGAAATTATATCACCGCAATGGATCAAATAAGTCAAGTCAAATGTGTTTCCGCACGTCAAAACGATTATCTCTGGCCAGATGTATCGAAGACACACCTGCGACCTCAACCGTCAACAGCAGTTATTAGATTTTATTCTTGTAATGATTCACGAATTGACGAGCCTCTAGACAGAACCGTTGGTAAGTCCTTCGAATGGTGTCAAGTGGTTCCTGCGATGCAACGTTTAGAGCCGAAGCTTTGTTCCACCAAGATTCGATCATTTCCGGAAGTTGAGCCGACACGATTTGAGCAGCCACGTAAATGTGTAAAAAAAGTAACTATCTAATATTTTTTTCTAATTCCGTATATTATATATTGTTTTAAAAAATAAACTAATTAGCTGTGTGTTTACGCTTAATTTATTATCTTTTAATTGTTCGTCTTCTCGTGATTTTTTTCACATCTCGTTTTACGAACTACGTTTTAACATCAAAATCAAGAATTGCGGAAAAAATAATTTTCTTCTTTCAACATTAAATAAAAGATCGAAGTGGAGTGTCCCGATCTGCATAAAATATTAGAAAAGTTACTTCCGGAAGAAAAGTGTTTGGATAAAACAACCGCACGAGTGGAAGCTGATCGATGGAAGACAACGTATCAAATTGATTTCAGTGATCCTGGTAAGCGCGTTAATGAAAAGAAAAAGAAACAAATTCTCACAAAAAAAAAAAGTTATATATTTCGCTGATATACATGTATATTTGTGTTGTATTGTTGCGATATTAATTTTCAAGTGTTGTTTACTCAGCAGCCGCACGTATGGCTAAAAGTATTGCCAAACGTGACAAGCTGTGCAGAATCGACGATACGATTTGTTCTCAGAAAATGGAGCATCGTCTGCCAGTCAAGATAATTGTAGAATCTGATTGTCTGCCGAAATGTTGTCTGTCTTCGAGATACAACGGAAATAGCTTGCAGAAACAGGTTTACAAAAAACTCGGGCGGAAGAATGGAAAGAAATGTATGGATGAGAAAATAAAGATGCAATTGCCGGCCTGGAAGTCGGAATATCAAGACAGCATTAGCAAGATCGGACAGTCCATTATAAAAACTAAACTACATCAAAAAAGAAGCGCCGCGCCGATGTTGACCATATCTTATTAAAATGTATAAACAGATCACATATATGTAAATAAATATATCCGATGAGATTTTCTTTTCTTCGAGTAAAAGCAAGATGTTTAATATTGTGTTAAATGTACGTAGACAAGAGTACAATGTTTTTTTTTTGTCTTTTTTAGATAGACAATATTTTTATTTATCACATTGCGATAATCCGTCAATGAGTTTCACAAGAAAATCGTCATGCGAACAATTTTCAATTTGTTTCTCGCTCGCGCCGTCATATTATGTGTAATGTAATTATTGACGAATTAATATAAATGGATTTTTTTTTTTTCCCCATAAGCGATTCTGTAGTTTAATATTTCTGTTTGGTCCTCTTGTACACAAATTTAATACAATGACAAAAATATAAACTATGTATTTGAGTTACGTTCGATTACTTATTTCACAAGCGTGAACTAAGCGTCAAGTGAGCTAAGTACAGTGAAAAAATCTAATAATCCTCCTCCTCCTATATAAAAAATCTATGTGTACCGCGAAGTGCGCGGTTTGATATCGAATGTATCGCATCTATTGTTGTCTCTTTTTCGCGTTGCCGATTAGTTGGTTGATCGAGTCGAGTCGAGTCGAATCGAATCGGTAAGATCGAGAGAGTAAATAATAACAGAAAAGCGATTTTGACAGTTCGTCGTATATGTGGAGAAAATTAAAAACGTGACCAAAGTCACTTGACAGAAAAGAGTAGAAAAACAACACGTGACTATTTAAAGTAACGTGATTGTAATTTATATATTATATATAACATTAAATAAAATATATATTATACATATAATTTATTATATATAGTATACAATATAAAGTATAATATTATACTTTATATTGTATATTATATATATTATGTACATATTACCGTAAGGTCACTGATCTCGGCCGCGCGACCTTGGTGGGAGGGTCACTGACCCGGTCGCGCGACCTTGGTAGGAGGGTCACTGACCCAGTCACGCGACCTTGGTGGGAGGGAGGGGGTCATTGACCTCGGTCACGCGACCGCGGCGAGGTCACTGACTTTAGTCACGTGTTATTTTTCCATTCTCCCTTTTTTCTTTTATTTTTTGAGTTTGATTTTCATGCGTTATTTCTGAAACGATATTACTGGACATCCTATCTGTATATACATGTGTATGCGTGTGTGTGTGTAATTTCAGTTTAAATGTTAATTATGTGTATGTAATTTTAATTTAATAAAAATGCCTTCGGATAGATACAATAATAATTACAAATTTCTGTTGTAGTATATATTACAATAATAGAATCGCAACATAATATACAGTATCGATACATATGTACACTTTATTCTTGTTAACCTAAAAACTTAGAAAAAAATCCCGACGATCAGCTCTCTCAATCGAACTTACTACCGTTCAACTAAAGTGACATAGTACAAGTGCACAGCATGAAAATATATACGTAAACTCTAATAAATACAGCTAATAAGGTCCTTGCATTTTTTTTTTTTGTATCACATGTACAAATATATGCGCAGTCATAGAGGAACTATCGGTTCTACTTGATCTTTTGTAGTCGTGTCAGATTACAAGTCCACTCTTTTTCCCGTGGTTATCGATTATAATTGTCGCGGTTGTTTGCGTCAACATGGAAGAAAAAAACAAGCATGTTGAGAGCATATACATATATATATATATATATATATATGTATATAGAATAATAAGATATCAATAAATGACATTTTTTTTATATATACACGTATGATTCAAAGTCTAGATTTTTTTTTTATCACAAAATACATAATTTTCATATTTGCTCTGCAAATACCAGTTTGCATTGATTTTATATCAGAAATATTGTTTTTTTTTATTTCAATAAAATAAATTAAAAAATGATAAATATATTTTCTTTAACACTTCACGATAGAGAGAGAGTGTAAATGATATATTATTTAATATTTTTCACAATGTCAATCAAATTTAACTTTTAAATATAAGACCTATAAACGTTACCGATGTAGCACGAGTGTAAGATATATATAACTGAATCTTATTTGTCCAAAAAACCTTTGGTGCTTATACATATATTATTAGGACACAGCGCTGTATGATGTATAGGCTGATGATATATATGTATGTGTATTAAAGACGCGGTTTCATAACTTTGAAACTAGTTTTCTTGTTGGCTAAAGCTTCGGTGCGCGCACACACGTTCTCCGAGCTACGTCTAATGATGTCTATGTACTCGCTCGACGCTTGAATGTCACACTGCGATCTCGTCGTTTCGTCATACGAAAAGCAATCCGATGCGCTTAGAATTGAACTTGTGTCTATCTAAAAATTCGAAATGTAAACACATATATATTTTTTATCTGAATATTATATTAAACACATGTTACTTGTGCAAGCAATCTCTCGCAAAAGCGAAAATTCTGGATGTTAATGAAACTCGGTATACATGTGACGAGAGCAAAACAGATTGTGGAAATATTTGAGTTCGTTAAAATCTAATATTCATAAAAATCAGAATATTCAGGTTTGCGAAAAAGATGCTTTTTAGTGTCTTAAAATTTACCATTGGTTCACTTATTACAATATCCTGAGACCATTTCTCAACTTGTTGAGTATAGCTCGATTTGTCCGATCTGAAAAGAAAAGTATTTAATTATTTTTAAGTAAACATTTATACAAAAAAAAAAAAAAACTGTTAATTTACACAACATGCGATTATAAATGTCTTTGCTTACTTGGATTCGGAGTTGCGTTTTTGTCGTAATGCGACATCGTTTGTACATTGTTCCGAATAACTGCGAGTGGAATCTTGCGTTCCGATTTGTTCCGATACTTCGTAAGTACACACCTTGTCCAACGACAAGCACGATTTAGCGAGACGCTCTCTGCTGTGAATGGCAGTTTCCGTAAGTGGGCTTTGTTTCTGTATATTACTACTACTATTTTGTTCGTTAACTGACGTTGTGCTAGTGTCATAATTCTGTAAAACTTGGTTTTTGCAATTATGTTCTGCGCTGTTCTTCCACGCGCTGTTTATCGCATCTCTGACATTTTTTAAAGTGTCATCTATCGGCAACACGTCGTCTTCGATCTCGGCCAATTCTTCCTTTCTACCGACGTGACTGCCATTTATACTTTCATCCGCGTCGGTCTGACCATTACCGAGAGCCATTTCACAGCTGCTTATAGAATTCGAGCTTCTGTCTCGGGCGCTTACAGAACTTTCCAGACTATCCGCGAGATTACCCGCCTTAGAAACCGAGGTGGGTATCATGATTTCAATGTTACTTTCAATAACAACTTTATCGCTACTTTCGACAAAATTATCTTTATTCTTAAAAGATAGGTTATCAATATTCAGAATGGCACTGTTTAATGTCTCATTACTGCTATTGCTCGACTTGTTTTTGGCCAGTACCAAAGCTTTATTGTCAATGGCACTCTCCTCCGATTTGCAGATACGCTTCGACTGACTGCCCAAAGCGGGCGATTGTACCGGTTTGTCGAGACCCTGATCCAAGGAAGATCCAAGTGACGACTTTATTATCCGCAACTGACTCATCGACCGAGAGGAACGGTGGCATTTTTCAAAAAGTAATTTTTGCAATGGCGGCGTGAGAGGTGGATTATGTTTACCATTACCACCTTCAGTATCCAATGATGAGGTAGAGAATGTTCGTTTGGAATCGTCTAAACTGTAAAATAAACATACGAGAATTGAGCGTGAGATCAATAAGTACAATAACGCATATCTGACCGTTTTATATTATTTTTTGAGTATTAACGTAAATGTGTGTGTATTCATTTTTATGAAATAAAAATAGTTACCGTTTCAAAGAATGTTCAACATCGTATTATACATTTACTTTGATAGTTCATCTATGTTTTTAATAACATCTGCTATAACATATATTATTTAACATATATAGGAGTTAAAAAATATAATTTAGTGACTTTAATCTTTTGGTTTTTGTAATTCAATTATTTTATTCAAACTGAAGATGATTTAAAATATAGTCGAAACGTTTTGGAATGATTGGAAGAAATGTTTTAGTAAATTGCACAATGTTCTGCAACCTGTGCGTATTTGGCAACAACGGATCTCTACAACGGATGTTTTTAGATTTGCCACACAAAGAATTAAAAAACAAATTATCTTATCAGAAAATATATTACAAAATGTGTCAGAAATGCTAATCACACATTATTACGTACTAGATCTGATTGGGTTTAATATTGATCAGCGTGGCGAGATTGGGCAACGTTGCTCTTAAATCGGTAGTTGGAAGACCGCAGTACCACCGCAATTGGGATATGTTTTTGTTTAATAGATACACGGCATAATGAAACTGCAATTTGTCCTTGCTTCGGGCAAACAACGGAAACCTAGAAAAAAAAAAAAAACATTACAAGTTGAGATATTGTGTATTACGTCAAAACGGGTCGAGTCACGAAAGAAATCCTTACTGTCTGTCGTTGTCAGGTAAACTCTCGGTAATATGATCTATGATCTTGCTACGCGAGCCGTAATGTATGATGGGATATCTGGTCGGTACGTTCAGAAAATTTGCGATCATTTGTGTCGTATGCGCGACAAAGCCCAACGCTACGGCCACTTGAGTGTCGTTCGACAACTCCAACTCCTCGCTGTCCGGTAAGTAAACGTTATTTATTCTGAATTTTCCAGTGCTATCCTACAAGAAAAGCTTAGCTGTTCGATGCGTTCAGCAAAATAGAATATTCATTCTTTTTGTTTTTACGAAATTTACCTGTTTAATCGGATATATTAAGCTCAATTCTGAGATTAATTGCTGCCGTCTTTGAGCAAGTTGACTGCTTTTATGCAAATACGTTTCCCTTGTCTCCATGTGATTTTGTCGCCACTCATTCAGTTTGTCCATGTCTCTATTCAGCTCTCTGTATCTTTCCAACAAGATAGAACCTAACGCGCGAAAGAAATTTTTTAATTTGTTTTTCTTCGGATTTTTATGTCACATATGTATGTTTTAATAATATACAAACCATGGTCTTGATTTTCTTCCACAATATTGTTATGCAATTGATTCAACACACGTATCTCCGCCATTTTCCGTGCTCTTTCTTGTTCCAGTAATTTCGTCCTAAATTTAGCCAGTTCCAGCTCTTTACGTATCCTTAGAATTTCCATCTTCTTCTCCTTATTTACTCTTCGCGGTTGCAACAGTCTGCTCAGAGTTGTTTGTGGATATTTGGGAGTATAAAAATCATCACCCGACTCAATGCGTATTCTGAGCGCTTGCACCGATTCCGTCTGCTGTTTCAACGCCTGCATCTTGCTTCGCAGATTACTTAACTTGTTCACAGTATAACTGTTTTTCACCTCAGACACATTTATGTTCATGTAAAGATAACGTTTCAATTCTGGAGTTGTCACACAGCAGTACACAGGTGTGAAGTATCCACCGTGAAAATAAAATATCAAAGAATTTTCTTTCAAAATGGTTTCCAGATTAACCGGGAGTTTAGAACCGATATATGTCAATCCGGTAAACGATATGCCCCAGGTGAAGAGAGTCACATCAGGTTTTGTAGCATCAGCTGGTATCAAACGCTTCCAAACTCTTATAATAATTTCTGTTTTGAGAGTCAAAATAAATATTTGTTAATCTCTCAACAAAAATTTATGTAAACAAGCTTGAAATACAATATGACAAAAATTGATAACAAAAAAAGCAACATGTTAACTTGTACCAAGAAATACATCATTCGTTGTACTAACAGATTGTAAAGCTCACCACTGGCTGTTGAGTAACCTGTGGCATGCAGAGTTGGTACTTCCAGACAAGACCATCTCGGATTGGCGTTGTCAATTGCCTCACTTGTGTACAAGGGTGACGACATACTTGAACTATGCAGGGTGTAGTAGTACCAACACGCTTCTCCATTTGCATCAGCTTTCAGATTATGGCCTATTATTTGTACTAAGCTTCTGAGTCTTAACTGAAAATTAAAAGACAAAAAAAAAACAATCATACTACACGCTTGTAACTAACAATTAACTCTCTCAAATCGAATTATATTATTTTTTATTTACTTACCTGTTGTGTCCCTAACGGCAGCCAGGTCTTGTAACGTGGCGCGATTCGCGATTGAAGGGTTAAATCTAAATCTTTAATAACGTTTCGCGATTCGGAAAGCTCCATTGTGTAACTTCATAGTACCGCGATAGCGTATCATTCAGACAATGAGAATAGAACACTTCGCGCGCACTTTTTAACTGATATGCAGATGATCGTGTGACAACATACAGAGATAGGTTAGATGTATTTTGATTAAGTATTTCATAAAAATTTATTACAAATAAATCAACAAACTTATAATTTATTACTTGCTCCGACAAATTTATTCAACAAAGTTGAGCGTCTCCTTAGTTTTATGCCGCGACTGAAATCGTCAAGTCGCACGCATTAATCGGAACGGCCGTGCTATAACAAACTGTGAGAAATTCTGACAGTTCCACCTCGTTTTGACACCCTCGCATCTAATCGCGATCACATTCCAATGTTCACCGCCCGTACTGAAAATCTATAATACACGCGACACGAACTGTACATTTCGAGCACTGAAACGTCAGAACGTGTCAACGAATCGGCGGTTGTTCTCTGATTAATCCGCGATTGCCGCACATGCGCCGAACGCGTTCCTCTCATTTGCCGACACTTGGTGCTGTTCGGGATGCAATTCAGGGCAGCCAACGGTGCAAAATCGACCAATCCAACGATCATTACCACTACAACAAAATACACATATAAATAATTCAAAGCAGGGTCATGGATTTTTTTCTCTACCATAAAATTGCGGAGTAAAATGTTTTTTGCAAGACTTCTCTCATCAATTCACGTGAGACTTTACGCTTTTTTTCCATTGAGAAAATAATAATTTTCATTTTTTTTTTTTTTTTAATTTTAAATTAAGAAAAAAGATGACACGAGCGTTGTTAGCTAGCGAGAAAATATCGAAAAGACTCGGAAGGAAGAGAGAAGGGGCAGAGTAGTTTGTGCTTCTTCGGAAGGTATTAACGCACTCCCGTGTACTGTGCAACACCTCGCATATGTATTCCGGTAGCGTCAAATGGTAGGGCGTCCCATGGAACACTGGCATCACTGCAAAATGGTTGACGTGCCTTTGACCGTGTCGTACGGTGGGATGGCGATGCGAGACTCCGTTTTGTCGTATTGCTGAAAAACAAGCTAGCTGCATTGTTCGCGACAACGCTCGTGATGCAACAATAAATGGCTGTTCCGGGATAATTGCATTTTTGGTACGTATCGCCTACGTGGGGTTTCGGGAGGAGCCGGTACGGAAGAATGATCGAAATCGTCGGTGTGGATCTCGTGCCCGACGATCCACCTGTCAATGCAATACGGCGCTTCCAACAAAAGTTTACATACACGATGTCTATTCGATTCGGAGCTGTCCGGAGGTTTCCGATTTGTTCGCTTGGTTTTTTTTTTTTTTTTTTTACGTTCGAATTTCGATCCCGATCACACGATCATTTTGATCGCGATTTGCCAGTAAGAAAGGGAAGAAAGCGCCTCAGTTCTACAATGCCCCCGCACACATGCACACACGCGTACCAAGAAAAAAAAAATGCACCGATTTCGTTGCTAACGTTGCTCAGATGATCCCTTTCGATTGTTGCAGTTTTGTGCGAAGTCTTTGGGAAGAGTGAAAACCGCCGTGAAGTGCGTGCTGTTGATATTGAAGACTGTTTAGAAAACACTCGGAGAAGCGATGGAAAAGCGGCAAGAGGTGCTCGCTCCGTTTTCTTCCGGTGAGTTTTCCTGAGCGTTTTTTGACTCGCTCGCGGCTTTCTCTGTGTCTGTCACACGGAAAATGCGCGTGTAGGTTTGTTGCGTAGGCGTTTAGTTGCGAATCGAGAACTATGCTTTTATGTTATAAATCTTACCACGTCTATAAAATAGATGCGTGTATAAAATATGTGGATTTATATATTTTCTATATATATATATATATAATATACATATAATATATATAACAATATATGTATATATGTTTAGAAAAATCAATAGAAAAGATATTAAAGTTTTATGTAACTTTTTGGTGTTTGAATATTTTTTTAATATGCAAATTTTTTTTAATTGCAAATTTTTTTAACACAACTTAAAGCAACAATTTTATTTGAACGCTTCATTTGAACGTCTCAAAATTTTGTATACTGCAGTAATATCTGCTCGTTATGATATTTCCAAAGCTTTAGCAGGTTTTATTTTAAACAATTGCAGTGATAAGAATAAAACACAATGCTGTGATCATAGTCTCAAAATAAAAACATGCGTGATATTTTCTTTTTGTTGCTTCCATTTAAAAAAAGAATAACATTTGATACACACGAAGAAAATAGAATCATTGCTTATTTTCTTCAAGAGAATTAGCGGAACAGGTATTGGTGTAAGGTTTTATTTTACACACACAGCATTACGGTAAAACTTGATGCACCTGCATATATGTATCATTGCTATTTATGTCGGAACAGAAACAAAAGAATGTTCTCTTGAGGTAATCAATACCATGTGAATCAAGTGGAGAGAAGCACTTACCTATATTCTAATCTAAAAAGTATATGCATATAAGGTACACATACTCACATCCTTATTTTGTGTTTTTTATTATATATGTGTATACATGGAGTTTCTTATATAAATGTATTTAATTTTGCAATTTTATTAAATATAATTATTCTCAGATCGTCAGGTCCAATATGTTTCAGCAACTAAATGATTTTTTGTTATCTCTTTTAAATTAATTTCTAAAATAAGCGCGCACACACTTCCGAGAAGAAGATAAAAAAAAAAAACAATAACGCTGTAAGTTTTTCTACATCACGATTGATTTGACTTTAATGAAAAATGTGCTTTTGCTTTTTGAAAAAACGAGTTGCGGCGTGTTATTATTGTTTAAAAAATTACAAGGAACTTTTTTTCCCAAATCGGAGAAACTCGCTGTTAGTTTCTTAGCAAACACAGAATTCCGCTCAGATACTTGGCGTAAGCTTTATAAGGCTTTTCCAAATCGATATGCTATAAGTGTGCGGCACACACATGCCGCATCTCGTGATCTGCAGATTATCATTTGAGGAGCTGACTCTCTTTCTCTCTCTCTCTCTCTCTCTCACTCTCTCTTTCTCTCAGAGGGTGAGATCGTTACGTGAAGAGACGTCATCTCGCGACATTAACCACCGCGAAAATCATTACCTCTGGAATATTTAATAATTCCGATAATATCGACTGGCGCAGTCACCGCGGCCTACATTCAAATGCCAGCTGGAGCAACACAATTGCGTCTCCTTCCTCTATACCCTCGTTCTTTCTCCCTTCTCCCTCTCTCTTCTCTCTCTCTTCTCTCGGGACACTTTGGCTACAAGCCGATGCTGTTGTCGAAGGGTTGTATATATCAGCGTGCGATTGTTACAGCGAATCCTTGCTGTGACGGGAAGCCGAATAGAAACACAAACGATAGCTTATTGAGAATACGTCTGAGCATTTAGAAAGAATCACTCTGTGATACAAATACTCGCGTCTGAATTACTCATTGAAGCAAAAAGCTGCTTTTTACGATAAACGCGAAATTTTCCCGACGTACGGTCTATTAATTTTTACACCATTTGAATTTTTGATGACTTTTAATGCGGTCTCTTTTAAAGACGAGGAGAGATTCGGTCGTAGAAAAAATATGTACGCGAAAAAAAAAAAAAAGATTTTAGCTAGAATAGCAAGAAATTTGTTACTACTACATGGCCAGCAAACAAAAAACGTGCTAAGTTTATTAAGATATTTTGTTTTCTCACCGACAAAACGTTTCGTCGATGAGACAAAAAATTTCGTAGACTCGACAATTTTTCTCGCTGACCATGTAATAACAAAACTTTTTTTTTAACAGACTAAAAACAAGCGATAAGTTTTGAGAAAGATATATATATCTTTTTTTCTTATCTAAAATCATTAAGCTAATGTTTGAAATATTGGTAAATATTGTCCTGATCGTGTCGAAAGATATATATATATATATATATATATATATACATACATACACACACACATATATATATATGTAAACTACATATATATATGTATGTAAACTTCCATTGCTTTATCGCGATTGCTTTTATTTTGCACAAGTGGATTTGTGCATGCATGTGAATATACATATATGTATATCTCTGAAAAGTCGCATAATTTCACAATTTTGCTTATCTTATCGCTTAGTTGACTAAGCTTTCTCAACTATGATCCTTTGTTATGTTTTCTTTTTTTTTTCTATTCTATTTGTAGAAAGAGGAAGACAATTGATATGCGCTTATAAGTCGAAGTTAATTGATTGTTGACGACGACGAATCCGCTTGCGCAAACAATAATATTTTAGAGTGTCTTGAATTTGTTTAACAGCTTCCGAGCCGTTCGCTAAAAAAAGCCGAAGATCACGTAGAGACTACTTGAGCAACAAAAGAGAGAAAAAAACGTAGAAAAATATTTGCCGAGGAATTTGTATCTGTATTTTCCGGCGCTTAGAACGGAAAGATATCAAATCTAACGAATACACCGATGCCGGCGGTGGTGGCGGAGGCGACGGAGGTGGAGGCGACACGACAAGGTTGGCGGCGGCGGAGACGGTGGGTTATATAGGGTCGCGGGGGTACACGGAGGCAGCGCGGGCCAGCGAGCGGATCAATTCGCGCTCCGGGAGCTACATAGAGAGCGAAAAGCAACAGTCTGCCAGCCCCTTTCCACCCGGAAAAGTGTTCGCCACGGTATGCTCCATCTCGCGCGCGCTTCTCTCGCTCGTCCGTGTTATACCGTTCGCCGACGAGAGACGACGACGGGGTCGCGGTGAGATCCGTTGTCGCTTCCTCTCTTCCTTCGACGTCGTCGTCGTCGTCGGGAAAAAATTGCGCGGATAGAATTTTTATTTCCCAAGACGGGATCCAACGTGCGTGTCCGAGATTCCGAGCGATTCGTGGGAAATCATTACTTGGCACATCGGATCGAAGACATCGAGACGTCATTAATGTCGCGCGGGAATCGCGGCGCGGAGATTCTGCAGCTGAATAAAAGAAAAAAAACTCGCGCTGGCACGAGTCGAACTAGTTAACGGCAGCTTCGATATCTCGTCACGAATGTGTGTTACGTATGAAGTTGTTTCTCCCCGGGTTGTTTCTCACGAAAACGGCGGAATAATGCAGAATTGTTCGAGAGACGCAGCGCGTGTATAATTGAAGCCGCGGAATGAACAATCGGACGAGCGAGAAGACCTCTTCGTCGATCTACCGTTTTAACTGTCGTTGCGAGATCATGAGAGTTTTTAACATTCTGCTCACGCTTGCGTGTGTGTGTGTGTGCGTGCGTGCGTGTGGTGCCCTCGCGTGTCAAGTCTGTTTTTTTTTCCTTTTATTTTAACGTGACCTTATAACACATACCGTTTGACATAGTAGGTATCGGTCTTCGGATTTCGAATGGATACGCCGCGTGAATCGGGAAGATCCGAGCGACGGTTGGGACGTTGTTATCCGGTTCGCGTATACTTGAGTAGAGACGTGCCGTCGTCGTTAGCGGAATACATAATTTGACCTAATTTTCCATCTGATATATCTTCATGAGGTATTCGAGCGAAGCGGAGCGGAAAGTTTGAGATGAAACCGGCGACGATTGTACGCGCGCGGGAGTTGCTTGCGTCTCTCCCGACCGAGTCAATAGAAAGAGAGAGAGAGAGAGAGAGAGAGAGAGAGAGAAGGCGCGACGGGGAACATTTTGATATCGGTTTTCCGGTATATCGTGATATTTCTCTGAAACCGCGTTCCGACCTGATGTGCGCCTCTCGCAGCGTGTGTCTGCACTTTTCTCCCATCATACGCGCAACAGTTAAAACTACTTTGCCCGCTGTTTGCTTTTTCCGTTTCTCACCCCCTGTCCCGGTCCCGTACGTTATTGAGCTATCGAGCGGCGAAAAACAGTGTCTGTTTGGCCCTCACTGCGCACGCTACATGTCCTAAAATAGATCGAAGGAGACCAGTTCTTCCTTCCGTGATATTAAATTAAGCGAATAATGAGAAATAATGCAGCGAGAAAACGATTGTTGACGATTGTTGACAACGACGATCCTGTCAATAAGACGGACAATCGTGTGCTTGCAGACGAATGTCCGAATAGCGGCGAAGACAGCGAGGAAGATGTAATAACCGATTACCTTGGCTCGTCGCACTCCGAATGCGATCGTGTGTTGCCTATTATTAATGGGGATCTGCGCGGCCTGAATCTGCACGGCGCCATAGTTGTCACGGACACCGGCTACAACACCAAAGACAATACCGACAAAACTTCAATTACCATGTCCGTGGGCGGTGACGAACATCATCATCGACAGCAGCAACAACACCAGCAACACTCGTTGCTCACGCTCGGCACGACCGTACAAACCCAGCCTAATCCTCTGCCCATCATTAGCATCACACCGCATTCGCCTGGTGTGACCAAGAATTATCCTGTTTTAGGTAAAAACAAAAAAAAAAACAAAAATTCCCTTCGTGCCACACTCACGAAAAAGAACAATTAACAGTTCCGTAAATCGAGATGAAAAATAAAAAAAAATAAAAAAAAACAGAAGAATATTAGATAAAAAAAATGTAAAACAACTTCTTGTAATGAAGCTCACATAAATAAGGTAGAAAATTTAAAATTAACTAAAAAACGCGAACCGATGTTTAACTTAATTTGCAGAGGAAAACTTGCAGCAATTGCATGAAATCCATGACTGCATCCAACGTATGCGAGACTTGACGTTGGGCACTCTGGGATTCCACAATCGCGCTTCCAATAACGAAGCTCTGCAGAGATTGACTTCCTCATGCCCGTCTCTGTGCCCGTTGGCGGAAGGCGATCTCGCGTCTCGTCCCGGCAATCACGACACAGGCTCTGATCCGGATCTCATCCTCGCCACTTGTTCTACCAACAGTTCCCCGACGCATCTTCCGTCGGCAAGCCACGCGCAACAATTAGCGCAGGGTATAGACAGAAGACGCAGCTGGACCGGAGATATAGAGGATCTGGAGAGCAATCGGCGCGGTCGTCGACGATTCTCCGGGCAGAATCATCTGCTCCAGGCCCAAAACATGGTATATCGCTTGTTAAAGTCAGGTACCAACATCGATTCGATTTCGGTGAGTTCGAGTTTTGATATCGCGGATTTTTTTATGCTAAGCAAAATTATTCCTGTTGCCAGTTTTTTTTTTTTTTTTTCTGGTTGTTGCGAATCGCGCGCATCTTAAGTAGCGCTAAAATCGAAGCTCATCGAGATTGCGTCGGTCTTGAAACGCCTGGTCACGGTTATATATTCGCTTTTGCGATAACTCTGGTCGCTTGATTTGCATTGCACTTCTCGCTGACGTCGTTACTAATGCTCTCACGCAATCACAAGGTATACTCGTTTACTCGTTTCAGCGACAACGCAGCATTAGTTTAAGTAGCTTAGACAGCGAGAACGAGCTAGAATTAGATGGGAAACCGTGTACCGGATCTGTAAGCAATCGCGCATGCAGGTCGCAAACGAGCACACATTCGCTAAACGAAGCTGATCTTGTACAGGTAATATCAGAGAAATTCTCCGAGAAAATCCTTAACGCGCCTTAAGGAAATACATAGCGAATTTTTATTTAACAGAGCGAATATCAGAAGATAGTTCCAAAGAGGAGTAGTCAGAGATTAGCAGAAAGTAGCAGTTTAATGCCGGGATTGACTGGTTCGCGTTTACCTCTTCAAAAGTCCGTATCGACGCCTTCAATTGTTACACCGCAGGTTGCGCATTTAGCTGAGACCGGGACCCGAACGACCCCGTCACTTGCAGCGTAAGTCTAGCATAATTATCACAAACGCGAAGATCGCAAAATTAGATTAACGAAAGAATATTCTCCATACTCGATAATATCATATATATATATTTATTATTTGAAACTACTTGTTATTTTAAAATAAGAAGCCGCTTAATATTATAATCTAGCTTGCGATCTTTTTTGTCGTAAATTTTTATCGTAATGACGCACACAAAGCAACACACATCTGCACGTTCATGTGTGTGAAATTATTCATGTATATGCTATAATCTTTACGCATAATATTTCAATTATTGTCGACTCTTGTTTTTTTTTTTTTTTTTTTTTTTTTTTTTTTTTTTTTTTTTTTTTTTTTTTTTTTTTTTTTTATTTGTTTATTTTGGCACAAAAGTAGAGACTAATTTTTTTGAAAATAGACACGAATACATATCTCTGCACGAACATTTTTAACTTTAGTAGAATGATTCTCAGAAATGTTTACATTCGTAAATATTTTTGCGTTACGTAGAGACGACTGCTCGTGTTATATATATATATATATTTTTTTTTATAAGCAAAAGTGAAACAAATGCAAGCAAAGTGTAAAATTTTTGCTCACACTTCTTCATTAATTATTTCTGTCTCAATCGTAATGTCTAAAACGCGAGCAGTTATAAATATTTTCAAAATATCGATACGTAATCATCAGAGAATTCATTATTCACACAATAGATGCTTAGTTTGTGCGTGTTTTTTTATTTAAAAATTTGCCACAATCCTGCATGAAACAGCCGTCTTGAAAGAAACGAAAAGGGTAGTGGGAGTGAAACAGAAACCGAAGATCTTCATACGACACACAGTCACGAGTTCCACGAGGACCGAGAGGGCACGCCGAGTGTTCAGATATCCCTTGACGAACTTTTAACTGAGTGAGTACTTCGGCGTTTTTTTTTTTGACACGTTGATCGCTCAGCATAAAATTGCAGCATGTGTTTTTCCCGCGGGGTTCGCGGTTCGCCGCGGATTATCGCGCTAGCGTATAAATTACTGATAACAGTTTGTTTGTTTGACAAGCGAACAAACTTTAGACTTTTAACAAAACAGCTAGAAGAAATGTAAAACAAAAACTGGAACTTATTTGCCTTTTACCTGAGACGCCACAACTTTGCTTAAATTGTTTCAGAGAATGTCACAAAAAAACAATATTATACCAATATATTTTACGCACAAATTACTTACAAGCACTTTTGTATACAGTTTTTCGTATTGTCGCTATTAAATGTGTCTTTGTTATTATTAAATACTCTTTTGCGAGAATTAATTTGTAAAATCCCGCTAATTAAGTGAAAGAAAATCATGTCTGGATAAATCCGCGCGTTCCTGCGGAAACTTAGCTGTCACCCAAATATGGTGGCGATCAGCGTGTTAAAGCCTTCACCGAATTATTTATAATACTGCGGATATATCTTTTGTAACGTCTCTGAGAGATAGGAATGGTTCGTATCGATTTGTTGGTCGATCGATTTTGTAGCTACAAAAGTAATACGTATGTTATATATTACGAATGCAGAGAACCAAACGCTGGTGATCTCTCACATACATTTATTAGAAGAGATATTGTATTTCCAATTAAATATTAAAATCTTTTTTTTTCTTTTTTTAAGCAGACAGTTCAATATATATCACGTATTGCGCAAAAAATCATTACACGCGAAGATCATTTCAAATTTTTGCAATTGCCAACGCACAATATCACTATTGCGCTACGTTGTCTTTGTGTGCATGCTACACATTTGTTTCGAACTTGTGACTCTAATCGCACATATTTACAGGCGACGCACATTTTGATCTCTTGCAATAAGCTGTGTAATAAGTCATGATGCTTTTATAGTTTTTGCACCGCAGACCATTTATAAAAATTTTCATTCAACTTAAGCGTTTATTTCACGTTTACGAACGGAGTTCACGTCGATACACGTATATTATTAATTTTTGCAGTGGTACTGCATATGACGATCAGCACTCCGAGAAGACTAGAAGAAAGCGCGGTTCTATTTTCTTCCGTAAGAAAAAGGTAAAGCAATTTTACACAGTTATTACGCGATATGTCTGATGAAGAATGAATGTTTTTGATGTATTGTAAGATATTTTCTTATTTTAGGATAAAAGTGGAAAAAAATCTAGTCATCAGCAACATCTGTGGGTAACGATTGCGGTAGGGGTTCAGGGAAACTTACTGTGTGATGTGTGTATGAAACAGTTGACAAACAAATCGTTTCTTCATTGCGACAGTAAGCGAATCCAATTACTTCGACAATGTGTACATTATTGTTCAAAAGTTTGCGAGAACAGCATTTGGCAATATTTGTTAATTTTAACAATATTACACATTTATAACGCGAGCGTGTATTCTAAATTAAAAAGCAATAACATAATTAAACGATTAAAACCAACTATAAAGTTTCTCACATTATGCACTTTTTTTTTTAGAAAGTATTAACACTATTATTGTTGTTTGAGAAAATGTGGCATTTTCAAACTTTTGAACAGTAATGTGTTCGTGTTTTGTAGGTATAAATAAAAATCGATCTCTTTTTCTAAACTTTATATTTCAACTCACAAAATCACAGATTGTGGAACGTCGGTTCATCAAAGTCAGTGCTGTAAGGATCAGTTGGTGCCGGAATGCATCAAGTCCAAACATCACTCCGGTAAATCAGCGACAAAATCCTCATCTAATATCTCTACAATTTCGAGCAACAGCAGCGCCAACAAACGTGGCTCTACAACGTCGTTACCTCTTCCGGCATCGTCCGGAAGTGGAAGGTAATAAAGTTTTATTCAGAACGATTATCATTATTATTATTATTATTATTATTATTATTATTATTATTATTATTTCATCTTTTGCATTGAATCTATTTGTGGTTCAAAATTCGCACGCAAATGGCATGGCTGGGTCTAAGCTCGGGGTTTGTAACAAACTCCTCTGTGCGAAACGCGTAAATGAATTAGCTCATATTAACTCGATTGGCAGATTAGGAGAGAAATAGATTCACGTTTCGTTTTACGAAACAGTATATATATATTTACACAGAAAAGAGAAACCTCGGTATTTTATTAAGAGAAGGATTGTTTTATTCTTTTTTCTCTTTAATATTTATACAATATATAGTCAGTATACATATATATATATATATATAATCTCTCTATACTATCTATCTATATCTATACGTATAGATAGTTATTAACGCAAGAGATATATATTAAAAAATTTTTAAATCGAACAAAAGCTGTGCATCTGCTTATTACTCCGAGGCTTTGGCTGGATTAGACGCTTATTATTTCTGGTTGATTTTGCAGTTTAGCAACATTAACATAGTACGGCAAGCTTTAGCGCGTTCAGCCTCGTCGTGCCGCAACATCTCGATTAATAAATATATATACATACTATATGTGTATATATATATACATATATAATATCGTCTACATATATTTATGATAATACGCATTTTATACTTGTACAAAATACTATGCTCAAACTACTCAGCTAGGTTTCAGTTTGTAATACTACACAATACGCAGGAATATAATAATTAGTATCTAATGTCATCGCTAGTTATACACAGAAAGAATTACCAAATAAGGAACACTTGCGTTATTCGAGAACAATTCTTTCGTTGAGATAGATCACATCAGCGTGCAAAAAAAAAAAAAAAAATCAAAAAGCGTAAAGAAAACAGAATTAGCAAGAAAAATGGAGGAAAAATAGCCTAACAGGCGAGATGAGATTGCCCTAATGCAGTGTGTGCTTTTTCCTTCTCCCGTGCATTCCCTCTTGTGCAACCACGTGCAAACCGATCGATTGTACGACGATAAAAGGGAAATTAACAGCTACAAGAAAACCGTGTCAAGCTACAGCCCTTGGCGGCGAGTCGCCACTAAACTTGGAGTCAAGTAAGTCTCTGATATCTGATGTGTTCCTCCTGTATTCTCTGTCGAAAAACGTTCCGTTCGTTTTCTGTGTTATCTTTACACGCGTCTAGTAGGTAGGCGCGCATCTGTCGTTCCTTGAGTTTTTCTTGTACACACATAATACAAAAAAAAAAAAAAAAAAAAAAAAAAAACGCATATTGTCCATTGAATCTAACGAGTTCGACAATCGAATCTCGTTGTCTCGTTAATCAGAAGAAATCATCATCTTGCCTTGCCTATACGCTTCTGATTTTGTGCTTGCTTCTATATAATTTACGATGTATATTTTATTTTATCTCTTCTCGTTGTGTGTGTAATCTTCGTGTGTATGTGTATATATGTGTGTATATATTTTATATATACATGTATATATATATATATACGTATAAATTATATAAATGTGTCATAAGGTCACGAGGTATTAATCCATAAAGTTCTCCGTGATAAGTGCACGTACACCGAGCGTGTGTACGTGCCGAAGTACATTGTTCACGACACATTACCACACTCCATCTATTGTTTCCACATTGTCCTGTCAATAATAATTTGTTACGTGTTTCATCGTTTCTACACATTTTTCAGTATCTATACAAAAACTTTGTGAGACTTCATAATTTTCCATAGACAATCATTTGTCTCGCAATAATTTCTGACAACCTTTGGGTCGGGTTCGGATTAATATTGTAACTTTAAAAAAGTGTGCGACGTTTTTTTTTTTTTTTTTTTTTTTTTGTTTTTTACATGTCGCGTCTTTCCCCGCGAACAATGCTAGAAAAATTTAATCAAACATAGCTGAGAGCCAGAAAAGAGAGAAGTGGTTTGCAATTGCGCAAATACATGTCCCACCCGACCTGAATTCGGCTTCTTGCGAGAAGAGTTTCCGGTTGCTCTTGCCGATTATTTACTCGTCCGCGCGAATGGCTTTTTGCTGTCTTGATATCAAAAGAGAAAATTTTTAAGATTTCTCTCTGAATGTTTTTTAAATTTTTAATCGCTAGCTTCGTATTATTATTAACTGTTTGCAACACGATAATATTCAATAATGTTTGAACACACGTGTCGACTGTGCGCAATAAGACAAAGATTTGCGTTACGCTTGAAAAATAAAAAATAAAAAAAAGTATAAAAAAAAAAAGAAATCAGGATATCGTCTTACGCAAGGTTTGTATGTTTCAAAAAGGCCTACATGTCGGTGCGTTACTTTCAAGAATCCTTTAAGCTGGAGTTCGATTTAACATTTTTGTATTGCATCATTTAGGGAAGATCGAGACTTTATTCTTTTAATCACAGATAATGCTTTATGAAACAAAGCTGTATTTTTTTTCAGTCAAACAATAACCGAAGAGAGAGATGCCGAGGGAGGGCAGCATCGTGACCTTCCTAGGTTTGTGCAATATACATTCTTTTCTTTCTTCCGTCATATATATATATAAAGTAGTTTGATGAAAAAATGGCAATATGGCTGCTCATATATGGTCGTGATGTTGGCATGCAAACCAAATAGCGAAAACTAATAGACTGATTTCTTTTCTCTTATTTCAGCGGGGAAGAATTTGACTTTAGTGACGATCATCAGTTCACCGTGGCGGATCTCGACGAGATAGATCCCGAGTTGGCATTGGGAAAAGAGGAACCTGATTCCTGGAGTTCCGCGATCGGACGTAACGTTGCGCTGCGTCTTGTCGATCACTCCGAGCGGGAGGTGAAAAGACAAGAGCACATATACGAGTTTGTTCTTACGGAGAAGCACCACTGCCTGGTGCTTCTTGCCATGGAGAAGATCTTCGTGGATGGATTGCGACGACACTTCCGTCTAGCCCAGCCGGATCTCGAGCGTATGTTTCCCCGACTGAAAGATTTGATCGACATTCACTTGCGATTTCTTCAAAAGCTGCGAAAGCGGCAGAATGTCAATCACGTGATTCCTTCGATCGCCGACATTTTGATCGAGCAATTTTCGTGCGACAACGCGCAACGCATGAAAAGCGCGTACGGCGAATTTTGCAGCCGCCACCGGGACGCTGTCGAAACGTACAAATATTATTTGCGAGATCCTCGTTTCGCTCGTTTCGTTAAACATTGTCAGGTACGTAATATAAGCAACTTCACGTTAACTCTATATCTGCTCTCAAAACAAATTCGTAAACTCGAGTAATTTGTGTCTGCAGACGAATCCTTTGTTGAAAAAGAAGGGTATACCGGAGTGTATACTCTTCGTTACTCAACGTTTAACGAAGTATCCATTGCTGATCGAGCCGCTCATAAAAACCGGCAGTAAGCAAGACGAGAGTGAAGACTTACGTAAAGCACTGGGTCTTGTTAAAGAGATCTTAGCCGATGTAGACACTTGCGTAGCCGACAAAGAACGAGAAGACAGAAAGTTAGAAATATACAATAAGTAAGTTCGCGGAACCAAGTTTCTTTTTTTTCTTTTCGCTCTTTTTGCTATTATCTATTCTTTTATCGTCTAGCGCGTTCTCATATTTCTTTCCAAAATTGATTGATCACATTTCACAACGTTTTTCGCAGGATCGACGCAAAGTCTTTCGCGACATATCGTGGTGCCAAATTCAAAAAGTCAGACATAATCAACAGAGTGTTGAAGTTCGAAGGCACCGCATACTTAATGCAAGGTCGTAGCAAAATGACTGCCATTGTAGTGGTTGTTCTCTCGGACATATTATTTTTCTTGGCCGAGAGGGATCAGAAATATGCGTTCTTCGTGCCTGACAATAAAGCCGGTATAGTATCGCTGCAGAAACTGCTGGTGCGCGAGAAAGCCCGTCAGGAATCCAGCATTTATTTGATAAGCAGCAATCCAGCCGAACCGGAAATGTTTGAGTTGAAGATTCAAAGGCCAAAGGACAAACAGTTGTGGATACAGGCTATTCGATCGGCGGTCGAAGCTTGTCCGCAGGATCCGGAAAACGAGACCGACGCGTCAAATGAAAACAGCAACGAATTACGAGACACTAACTCCTCTTCGATTTCGTTGGTCTCTGTTGAAGAAAAACAGCGCATCGTCAAGGCTAAGGAGACACACATACTTAGGCTCGTCGGTATGTTCTTCTTTTTGTCACAATTCTTTTCTTTTTTTTGTTTTCTTGCAAACTTTTGTCACATTGAAAATAATTTATACGTGCGCGTTTCTAGACGAATTGCGAAAGAAAGACGCCGAACAAGCGTTGCTCTTTGAAGAAAAGATCAACTTGCAAATGCGTCTCCTACAAGCTGCAAATATTTGGAATGGGAACGAGAGCGATAACGAGAGACTTGAGAAACTTGAGAAAGAAGGTGCTGATTATACGCGATTCGTACATAACGAAGGAGATGACACCACTCACATATGGCACGAGGTGAAAATACAGAGCTTTATAAATTAATTGTTATTTGTATCTTTGTATTTTGTGCAACGTATAAATTTGTAAAACATAAACTTTAATTTAATACAGGTGTTCGTGGCCGTGCAAGAAGCAACGCGTCTCATTAGCTCATTGTCGGTTAGCGCGGGCGGCGCTACCTTGTCAAGAAGCTTGAGTTCCGCTGGCGAACGTCACACTGAAGCTTATGTTCCGCCGTCTCTTTGCGTTCCTCGAAGAGCAGAAACGTTTGCCGGTTTCGATCACAATAAGGTATACAAAGAAACGAAAAGCAAATAATATGATACAAAAAACAAACACAACAATAATAATAAATACCGATTTAATTTCATCTTCTCAGGAGAGACACCCGTTTCGCGATTCTAACGTGTTGCACGCTATGTTTCCAAAACTCGAATTGCCCAAAGAAATTATCGAGGAAAAAAATTGCCAAGAATTGGACAAGAATCATCAGGAGACAGCGCTACGATTGTCCAATCATATATATACGTTGCTCTGTATAATAAGTAGTCAGATGACGACAATCGATAGCCTATACGCGCAACTGACCGCGTGTAAGGAGGGCAATACGAGCAGCAAGTCCTCCGGCACCCGACCGAATACAAATCGTCAGCTGGAGGAGCTGCGAAATTTGCAAGATCAACTTTGCCGGGAGAAGGCGGCGTTTCGTGCCGCATCCCAACAAGAGAGAGCTCAATTGGAGGAGGAACGAGCTCAACTGGCGCGCCAAAGGGAGCAATTAGCTGCGGAACAACGGGATGTAACGCAACAACGTGATCAGTTGTACCGACGACTCGAGGCGTTAGAGCGACAAGGTGTCACATTGGTCGGAAGCTCAACGACCGGCTCAACAACAATTCACTTGTCTCATATAACGCAGAATACTGATACGATGCAGCAAACCGCGCGCAACAAGACGCAACCACCTGACGTCAAGCGTATTCCTTTGAACTTGATCAGCGCGACGAATCAGCAGAAAGTGCAGAGTAATTTGCCGGTCAAGCAACAGCTGCCGCTAAAACTTGCTAGCGGGAGTAACAACAACACAAGGTAATCGGCTTGTTCTATTTCGTTGGAAACATTCAGTAACGTTTACTCTGTAGACAATAATTTCGTGTGTTTATGTGACAGAAGTGGTAGCGCTACAAGCAATAATAGTCCGGATCGACACTCCAGAACAGGAAGCAGTCCGGCCATTGTTACCGGGTCTGCGTACTCGTCACCGGAACTCGGGAACAGTCATCATCTCGGAACCGGCGGCAGCAATCACACGCACTCTTCGAATCGCTCGCTACGCATCGCTCGTTCTCCTCCCGATATCTCGTATACGCAGCAGCAGCAGCAACAGCAGCAGCAGCAGCAGCAGCAACAGCAACAGCAACAACGAAACGTGGATTCGCAGCCACAGCAGCAGCAGCAACCGTTGGAGGAAGAGGTGATTTTTTTCTGACGAATCTTTCGATTCGGTCGTAAGCACTCGTCGCGATCGCGCGCGACTCCTACCGGCACGGCTACACCGTCTCCCACGCCAGCGCCATCACCGCGCAATCAACCGAAAAACAGCCAGCAGTCTCGCAATCGCGTCAAATCGTTTTGACTTTCGACGCGTTAAATCTGTCGCGTTTATATGCAATCTACATTTTCATTTGTCGCTCCGAGAACACAATTTTCTCCTTACGTCCCGTATCATAATCTTCTATCATTTTATACATATCTTCCCTTTTTTTTTTTACCGTATTGCTCATACGCTCTTTTATTGCATTTATTTTTCACTATCGACTGTTTTATACTTATTGTTAGTGAGTTTATTTCCTAAGACGAGAGATCATTTTTGACTCAATGTAATAATGTTGCTCCCGACGCGTTTACATCGTGACGATACTATACATATAGTTAATAAGCGCGAGTAGGTTGGTATCCTCCCGTAGTTAAAAAAAAGAAAAAAAATATATATATTCAAATTACATTTTGATTGCTCCATGATGCAATAAGTATTATTATGCCGAATCTGACAATTCTCTCTCAAATTAACTTTGACGAGGAAAATATATATTCAGAATGAAATATAATTTCTATGAAAAATGATTAAAAAAAAAAAAAGAGATCAGGAAGAAAAAAAGAGAAGAAGAAAGTTATTACTAGAGAGAAGCTTGAGGAGCAGCGGCCATTGTAGTTTTTTACGACGTTTCTCGACTGCCGTTTTCATCTACAAAAGTGGATGTGGGAATCTGCGGAGCAACTTCTATTTCCAAGCGTAAACGGCGCAATTGTGTAATCCGGTTTGAGTCCACATTGCATTTTCAAGCGTATACATACGTAAATGTATGTCATTCGATTTGAATCCGTGCTACATCTCTGCTTCTATAATATCGATAAGTAGCCACTCTCGGATTGCTGTAAATCTGCCAACACAATTACATTACTGAAACACAGTTTAACTTTTTCTACGACGGGAACTTAACCGCGGAGCTTTACGGACAGATCTGCCGGCGAAATGCGAATTAACGATATTAGTAAAAAAAAAAAAAAAAAAAATTGTAAAAACATGTAACAAACATTCCCGTACTGTATCAATGTTGCGTGTGGCTTTCGATGCGAGATTGAAAAGAAGGGAGCCGATATAGTGGTTATTCGTTCTAAAACGTCGCGTTTAGCAGGAAGCCCCTATAGTAGCGATTCGTTCAAAAAAAAATCACCTGGCGAGAAGCTACTACGACCTGGCGTGTAAGGCTTTGTAGGGTTGAACACTTTTTTGTCACATTTGAATCTTAAAGCTGGCAACCTATTTTTTGTATTTCACAGCAATTTCAAGATTCTGACAGTTCTGCGCAATAGTTCATGATAGTTCCCGTTTTAGAACGACGTTTGATCTTGGACCAGTTTTTTTCGTTTAATCTTAAAAGCCCGGAATCGTTTGATCAAGACTATAACATCAACACACGTTTGACACTCGATGCTATTGTATATCCTGATCTTCTCTGACAGTTTAATTCGCAACTGCAGTTTTTTTAGAATCGTTTGTGCAATATTATTGTGAAGCGTAATCTCCTTCGAGTTTATAATTTTTCATTCCGATTCTTTATTATTTTTTGTCGCTCTGTTGTATATTGATTAGCGATTAATATGTAAATTTTCGTCATCATTACTCATGAATACGTTAAACAGATTGGCTGGAATATCTAAAAATCTAAATAAAAATCGAAACGTTCCATTAAATCTTGATACAAATTTATTTTACTACCATCAATGGATCCGGGCTTTCAAGAGGTCAAACAAATTCTTCAGTTTTTTTTTTTTTTTTTTTTTTTTTTAGAGATCTATATCAACCCTGGCTAGTCGCGTATCTTCGCAATGAGAGGCACGAGGCCCGAGAAAGGGAGACGCACGAAGTCCAAATATGGGCATAGATGGTCGAGCGTCATTATGCGCAGGCGCATCTATCAAGTGAGTGCGAGCGAGACAAAACATTGGAAAGTGAGAGAAAGAACGCGAGAAAGAGAAATGCGCAAGCGTGCTTGAATGTTCACCGCATGCGCACAAAGCAGCTAGAGAGAGAGGCTACTATATTGTCTGCACCGTAACATTGAGCTTCAGGTCGGCACCGTACTAGCCAGGGTTGATCTATATCGTCACTTTAATTTTTTTTCGATTTTAAAACATTGAAGCAAGTTTTAAAGAACGAATTTCGGTTTTGTATGTACCGCTTGTAAGTAGGAACTACGGACGCAACATCCACTTTTTTGTGGATTTATGGCATTGGAATCGAAAGCGTCGTAAAAAATGAAATAATTGCTCTCATGCTTCTCTCTCTTATTAGGTATCAGCCGGTTCAAGACCTTTTTATACTAATGCAGCAATTTTTCTTTGTCCACATGCGCGTATTCGATCAGCGAACGATGTACGTATTGTTCACATGCGCACATAGCGGCACGACGTTCAACAGAACGCAACCGTTTCCGTTACTTCTGCAACTTTTCATTCGATAAATAAGGATTATTCTTTCGAATCTGTCAAATAAATCTTCGAGAAAAGTCTCGTCAAATGAAAGAGTTGCAAAAGCATCATTAAAAAAAAAACGGTTGCAATGAACGCGGCCAGTTCGGTCGACGTTGCGCGCAACTGTACGGCGAAAAGTTGCGTATTGCAGCAATAAACATTGCATCATGTAAAAAGGGAAAATAGATTGATCGATCTTGTTAAATTATTACGCTCGTTACGTTATTAAGCCGATTGGACAGTTTTAGAGATACAAGATTTTAGACGAATCTTTTAAGCAAACCCGTTGCTGCTTGCTGAAACGCAAGGTAGATTATATCTCATATATTAGAGTTAGAGTATGTATGCATAATATATAAATGTGTGTTTGTGTGTGTGTGTGTACATATATACTATATATGTATATACTTTGTAAGGCGCGCGTGTGAACAAGTGCGTGAAATATCGAAATGAGATGTATAAATGTATGTGCGTAGACAGTTTTTTCTAGCAAATATATATGCACATACACATATCTCCGACACGGATCTTACGCGGTCAGTAATACCGTCAGTATCAATTATCAATGTTAATCGATACCGATACTATTATTATTATCAAAGATTATTGTAGCCGTTGTGGACACAGAGTGGGAAACGTAATACGGATCTTGTATGATTAACAATTCTGTCAATATCAACGCAAATGTGTTTGTTGATATGCTTGACGGTGTTGTCGACCGCGTAAAATCGGTGTAAAATCAGAAGCACACTGTGCTGTTTTGTTTGCTAGATTGAAAAAATGCAGAGAGCAATCAGCGAGCAAAAAAGCATCGTAGGTC